ATCTGGTTAACTTACCACTATGGCCCTAGAGTTTGAGAAATTATGGACCCCTTTTGACTGAATAGTCAACTAACAAAAAAACCCTCACTGTCAAATTCCATTACACCAAAAAGACTACATTTTAAGTGTCTATGACATTTTCTGTTGCCAAAGTAACCTTTTAACAATGCTTAGTCATCAAGTTAGGGTAGTGTATTAATAAGAATAGGAATACTTCTAACAAAACAAAAACAAATTTTATCTAGCATACTTTACTTCTAAGAAAACAGTTCCATTGAATAACCCACTTATACAAATTGATAAAGCAAATACTTCTAAGAAAACAAATTCCATCAAGAATACAAATATTTCTAAGAGTACAAACCAGGATGTAACGCAATCTTATAGCAATCCCATATTTAGCTTTTTTATTTTTCATGAACAATTAGCAACATATTACTAGATAACACCTACTTGAACACTTAAAACCTCAATGATATTAACTTAAAACCTCAATGATATTAGTCTACATAGTTAAAAACCTGATAGATGCATAAAATCCAAGACTGACACAGGGAAACATGCATCACCAGAATGACATCTTTCTGACAATGCATCAAGAAAACAGTATTGGTTCCTAATATTGCATAACCTTTTATATTTTACTAATTGATTAATCCCTTTTTCTTAGAAAACAAAAATAAAATATCTACAGGAAAAAAGTGGGTAACTAATAAAATTGTAATAAATTGCTTTGATATTAAAAAAAATTTCAGCTACAAATTTAGAATAAAATAAACTATTAAACGTTCTTTGTTTGCTCGGAAGAAAATAAAAGCAATAGTTTGCAGGATTTCAGGGTAACACTAGTAATCAATGGTCAATTAGTATAAAAAAAACGATGAGATAATCTACAACAGTCTTTCTTTTCTAAATATGTAATTATCAAAACCTAATGAATCTTAATAGGGGATGCAATTTTTTAAATTAAATGCCTATTGTAATTTTCTGCTTTTTTTTTAAGACAGATTCATCATGATTGCTAAGTACTATCCAAAAGATTTAAAAATATATGGAGTACTTCCAGAGTTCCAAAAGTTGATTACACTATCAGGTATTATTAGACAAAATAAATGTGCTAGACTTTCTATGCATCAGTAAAAATCAACTTTAGAGAGAGAAAGAGAGGGAGTCTGTGTGGTGATAATGATAAAATTAAGTTCTAAAGATACCAACATAAGCAATCACTCTAAGAAAATGGCTACACCAAGAAATGCATCTACCATAATACAATAAGATTTTACAAAGGGTTCTGATGAAAAATATATGAATCTAGATTGCCAAATGAATATGGACACTAACCATATAATTGTTAAAGATGCATTTAAAATAGAAATAAGTAAACCAAAATAGTTAAAGGATTTCAAGATTAAACCACTTTTAGTATGACAATCTAGAGGTATTAAGCTGAAAAGACACCATAACCCTACCCACTATTCTGATATTAAAATCAGAAGTACAGAAATCTAGTCGATAAAGTTTAGATTGCCCTCATTGTCTTATACCTTTCTTTTGAGTTATCTTTTATACATACATACTAGTCTGAGGAATTAAAATATTTATCTTATTACATTAACTTGCTCATCCTCTCCCTCCTCCACCTCCTAATAATCCAACAATTTAAAAAAAAAAAAAAAAAGAATCCAGGACAAAAACATAGAACACGCACAGGCCAATCAACAAATTATAAATACTAATGCACTCATTTGCTGGACATTTGCAGACTTGAAGAATCAAAAGGGTGCACACAAAAAGACATCCCCATATAAAGAATAGAAATGCAACTTATAGAAACTATGAAACAGTCAACACCAAAAGCAACCTGTCCCCAACATTGTACAGACCAGCAGACCTGGTTGTACTATCGGAAGAAAATATGATGGTTTCAGAGGTAAAGGGAATGTAGAGGTGTGGAGGTGGCTGCCATAGCAACAAAGGAGATGGATATGCTTGAAGAGAAGAATTAGCGGCAACAAGAGGGCCAGGGGTGGGCAATGCATCTGGCAGTGGCTTGGAAAGGAGGGGTGGAGAGTAGCACTGTAGCCTAAAGAAAAGAGACAAGAGCAAGAAGGGGTGGTTCAATTGAGGGAAGAAGAGGCAGGGGCTACTAGGGGATGAAGGGCAGGTGCATAAAAAAGAGGAAAGGAAGATAGGCACAAGGGAACATGCTGAAGAAAAGGAAGGGAAATATGTATAAGGGACACCTAGTTGGTGAAGGGGAAGGAGCGTGGAGAAATACAAAGCAGCGAAGAGGGGTGGCCAGCGGAAGAAGCAGAGGAAAGAAGAGGGGGGGGGTTCCTAGAGAAGGATTGGTCTGTCAAATACTTACAGAAAAGATGTGCAAGACCACATTTAAAGCCTGACAAGTCTTGCCCAATTTCCTTCAAAATCTGAGACATGGAAAAGGTCACTAATCACTACCACCTTCACATGAATGAAAGTAAAGCACCAAAATAAACAGATGTGCACATGTAGTTATTCCAGGTAATTTTCTCAATATATGAACAAAACATCCCTCACATTTACCCGTTCGACTTTTTCGTCCCTCACATTTAAAATGATGCATTTAAGTCTCCCGCAAATATGAAGCACACCAATTGAGCTAGCTGTCAGGATCGATCAGAAGAAGTTTTAGGATCAGGTAAATGTCGGGTCATTGGATATGTAGTGGGTGGGTCAAAATCCCTGATTTTACCTTTTCTACGCCACTAAAATTCATAACGCGCAAGTCCTGTGACAGTTTTAAGCTAAGGTTACGGGAACTAGAGTTAGGATCAAGTTGGTATCTTTCACTTTTGCGAGGAATGCAAATGCATCATTTTAAATGTGAGGAACAAAAAAAAAAGTTAAATTGCAAAACACGAGGGACGTTTTGATTTAAGTACCAACACTCACAGGTTGTGTTAACTAATAGTAGTACTGCAAAAAACTATTTAAGCACTAATTACTAGCATAAAATATCAAAGAACATTTATACAGATTGATGACTGAAAATTACTACTGACAAACAATACCTACAAATGGTACAATGGGAACGTCATACGGCCACACTTGATTTGTACTGGAAAAGAAAATCCTGGGGCGTGAGGGTGGGTTTTAACGGTAAGCGGCAAACACCAAAGATCAACGGGGAACATGTTTACCTTCCAGAAGGCCAGAAAAGTTAAGTGGGATTTTAAAAGAATTACCTTTGCAGAAAAGTGGTAAAGCTGCAAAAGCTCAAAGGTGGGATGAAAGCTTTAAAACTGTAGCAAGTAAGAGGCGTATGCTATATTGATGTGGGAAGACAAAACACAAAAGAATTTGTAGTGGCGATGCACAGAACAAAATGTTTGTGCAATCCCGCCGGGGGTATAATAGGTGGCGTTACCTTGGAGGTGATAAGATGACAGCCTCGCATCTGTGGAGGGATGGTAATAGTCTTCTGAGCCCACTTGGGTGAGGTAGCAGTAGCAGCCGCGGCGGCACCACCCCCGGAGGAAGCCATGATCGGGAATGAGCGGTGACGGTGGATTGTCCTCCTCTTGGGAATCTGAGTTGCGGTGCGGAGGGACTTTAATCTGATGATGGGTCCCGGTCCCGGTCCCAGGCACAACTGGTTGGCGGCGAAGGTTGTTGTTAATGGGCGACTGGTATCAGAGGAGACGGAGCACACCAAAAATGAAGAGGCCAACGATGAGAGGTTCATCTCAGGGGAAGATTGAATACCTATTTATATTTATTAGCTTAAAATTTTTAAATTTATCCTCTTCGTCCTCCCTTCTTCAACAAATCAACCAATTCTCCAATTACTTTGCTTACTAGTCAGTGCTGCTCCATTGCTATTAGTAGTGTTTCTGCAGACTACAGACTCGTGTAAATCTCATCTACTCCGGGCCGGCCACTATCTTCCTGCTCTTTACTTGGGTTGGGTTTGCCCATACCACACCCAACAAATTCTAGTATCTAGACTCGAGAGATTCCGGACTCCCCCCCCCCCCTTCTAAGCCCCAAACTGAGCGATGCTAAGCATCAGCCCACTCGCTTATGGCTTTTTTCATTTCTTTTTAATGTTCAGTGGTTTGATCACAACTTATAATCATATCCTTTTTTTTTTTCTTTTTTTTCGACACAGGAGTGTCCGGTCAATCCTTATGGGGCTCGACTAATCCCCTGCGGTCCGGAAGAGGAGGCCCCACTCCACTCCGGACACAGTAACTCCAGGCAGACTCGAACCTTGGTTGCCCAATGCCGGACAACGCCCCTAAAGAGGAAAGCGTGACCGACTGAGCTGCCTGGGGCCTTATAATCATATCATTGCTAACTACAAAATTGTAGTAATGCTACTATAGCAGGAGAAAAGGATGAGTGAGAAATTGCAAATCTTACAATAGAAATATAAAAGAAAGGATATGAGAGTCAAGACTAAGAGCTCCAGTTAAGCAACCTCGAAATATTGACTAAATTTGAGTTACTCAATAATACGTACGAATTGAGTTCGAGTGTTTCTAAAATCATAAGTTCAAGAGTCTAATCCATCTTTCAATACATATATATATATATATATATATATATATATTTTAAATTTTTTTTTATTTATTAGTGTGATATGTCGATTATATCCTTTGTTTGACATTACATATAAAATATTATTTTTTATATGAGTTCATTTGACTTTTTGAAAATTGGAAGAGATTGAATTTAGTTATTATCTTAATTTGAGTTGACTACCGGATCTCCACTTGAATGCACCCTTATCTTGTGCTAAATTGGCTAATATTTGATGGGTATGCATATATTGCTAATTATTTTCTTCTAAGCAAGAGGTGTTAACTCTTAAACCCCAAACCTCTCCCATAGTGCTAATTAGTTAAGCTCTAATTCTAGAGTATTAGTAGGGAATGTTATTAAAAATAGACAATATAATTTGTTTTTCAAATAATATTGTTGTTGTATTATAAACAAAATTTCCAAATAATCTCCTATGATGTTTGGGTATGGTTCAGTGATTATGCATGATTGGTTGATGGTTGATTTTTGCTGTTCCTTCCTTCCGTCACTAATTTTCATTTTACTACGATTTGCTTCCTTTAGTTCATTAATGTATGTTTGTGTAGGAGGAGGATTAGATGGTACAGGAATCAATCAAATCCATTTTACCAGTTTAGGGTATTCATTTTTCGTATATACCACAGTGCTTCTTTTGCTACGCTACTATTGCTCGTAGGATCGCCATCGCCCAGCAGACAAGAAGCCACGGTGTCGGCGGGACTCTAATTTACTCATCCTCGGAACTACTTGAAATGGCGGCGGCTGTGTCACATTGGCGGCGGCGGCGGTCATCTCTGTGTGCTGCACTCGTGGTTGTGGGTGCTGTCATCGTCGCATTCTTCGGGGTGTCTCCTTGCAATGCCTTGTTGTTGTCGGAAGAAGCAGAAGAGGATAACAAGTCTCTTGTTTCCCGAATTGCCTTCGGATCCTGCGCCAACCAGAGCGCTCCCCAGGTTTTCTCTTTTCTTCTTCTTTTTTTTTTCCCAAATAACAGTGTAATATTAAGAAAGAAGAAACAGTTCGTCATTCGGTAGATTGATTTAAGTAGGAGGAGCAAGTATCTTTCTTGATTACTAGGTTACTATTGATTAGATGATGGTATTTCTCCCACTTCTACGGCTAAGCATTTTTCATTCTTTTGAAGCCCATATGGGATGCAATCATCGACTTCAATCCCCATGTATTTATCTGGCTGGGCGACAACATATACGGTGACATCCGCCGTCCCTTTAGGCTTTTCGGCAAACAAAGAACTATTGGTCCTTGGAAGAATGTTCCCCGTTTCATCCCTTCCTCCGAGCATGAAATGCAGTCTAGATATCTCCTGGCTAAAAACTCTCCCGGTTACTCTCGTCTTCGCCTCAACACCAAGGTACCTTCTCTTCTTCCTAGTTAGTTATTTTCCTGCTGCTATTTTCCTGATGTACTATACTACTACTACCCGTACTACTGCTACCTCTACCTCCCTTCTCATTCTGCAGGTTATTGGCACTTGGACGACCATGATTATGGACTAAACGATGCCGGCAAGGAATTCAGTGCCAAAATCACCAACCAAAGGCTTTTGCTAGATTTCCTGGACGAGCCCCAAGATAGTCCCCGGTTGGATTCCCTTCTCCCTCCACTTCAAATAAGTCCTCCCCTCATTCTATACATATCACACCTACCTTCTGAAAAATTAAGCTGCAAATTACATTTCACGCTGACATGCACTTGGTCCACCCATGCTAAAGCTCAACCTTTTTTCACGCACCAGCTATCTTTTTTGATAGGCGCAAGCAAGCTGGTGTCTATGCATCGTACACATTTGGCCCAAGGGGTAGACAAGTCAAGGTATTGTAACTCCCAACATCCACTATTCTTGCTCCTGCGTGGAAGACTGGGACTTCTCGTGTTTTGTTATGGGTCTTAAACTTCTTCAGGTTATTCTTTTGGATACTAGGTACCATAGAGACCCTTTATTTAGTGATGGAAGTATCGTGGGAAGTCTGCAATGGGAATGGTTGGCGAAGGAGTTAAAAGGTCCTGCCACAGCCATTACTATCATCGGATCTTCTATACAGGTAGATATTTGAAAATTTTTTTATCATCTGTTATGTTAGATTATGCATCGTTGTTGCTGTGCTGGTTCCTGGTGCGCTATGATGCTACAAGCTCTGATGTAGGATCAATATAGCGCTTTAATCACAATGATGCTTTTCCCGCTCTTTGTTCTGTTTAAATGGGGTTTTATGAATTCCACTTTTGCCCTTCCCTGAAACCAGAAAGTGGAGATAGATGGTGGTTGGAAATTTTTTGATGGTAGAGTGTGGAAGGACTAAATTGGTCAAAGAAAATTTTCTTCAAGGACTGAATTGGTGAAAGTAAAAGATGAAGGATATAAAGTTGAAGGACTAATCCAGCCATTTGTCCTAACACTGATACTATCTCACTTAATCTCTCTATCTTACGATCCTGTGGTTGATTGCTGCTTGTATCATTCACTGGGGAACATGTTGATAGATGTGCGGATTTAGCATTTCATTTATCCTTGTCTTCTGAATTGGTCTCAACAAAAAAGCAAGAAAGAAACACTATATGTTGATATATGACTTTTTCCCATTCTTAATTTGTTTCTTTTTATGTGACAGTCAGACGTAAGTCACCACATATGAACTGGATAGGAGTGGTTCAATTCAACCAAATAGTACCGGATTTGTATTCAAGTTGTTTAATTGCCTTTTCATTTTCTTGGCATTTTTGGTATATTTCTTGTCAAGATCATTTGGTGACACTCTTACTGCCACATTTTACATGCTTGGTGAACATAGCTTGGGAAAGAGGATTAGGAGAAAGTTTTTAGTGGAACTCATTCTTTGTTCCTGAATCCACATCGTTTTTTGTTTACTTCTCATCCTTTTTATAAATTCTTCACGTTGCTTGTTCCTCCAGGTGATATCAAACCTGTCAGCAACCACTGGCCCTTTGTTTTACATGGAGTCCTGGGGTCGTTTTCCAAAAGAAAGAAGTCGTCTTTTTGAATTAATATCTGAGAGTAAGGTGATGGTTTCTTGATTACTTTTTTAACAAGGAAAAAAAATTTAATTCACTTCTGATTGAGCTGGATAAGCGTTTTCTAGTGCTATTGACCTTTTTCATACAAGCTTGAATAACTTAATATCTACACTCAGTTGAAGATTGTCAGTATAATTTGATCTCGTATTCAAATTCTTGTTTGTTTTCTTGTTATTCTTGAAATAGAGGGAAGGGGTGTTCTTCATCAGTGGGGATGTTCATTTTGGGGAAATTACAAGATATGATTGTGCAGCTGGATACCCCTTATATGATATAACATCAAGTGGGATTACCCAGGCTGTGGAGAAGGCAGTCCCTTCACCACTTCATTTCCTTGTGAGATTTGCGGCACGCTTGACTCCGAGTACTATGAGAGTGATGGATAGAGGCTGCAGCTACAGTTCATGTACGTATGGTATGTCCTCGATTGCATTTTATTGAGTTACCTGACTTGCTGCATGCATTTGGATAATTGATCTCCAAGATCTGCATATTTTTTAGGGAAGCCAAATTTTGGAATAGTTGAGATTAATTGGGATACTGCTCCTGTCAATTTGAAATTCGAAGTGAGGGATGAAAATGGAGATACTGTTATTGGAGTGAATACCTCATTATCACAATTGAAAGCCCAAAGGACGGAATCTAAGTTTACCAAGGTAGAAGGGAAATATAAAAACCATTGCCTTTTGGAAGTTGAACTGCCATGGATGATCAGATATCGGTTGGCCATCATGTTCTTTTGCACTGTAGGAGGTACTTGTCATTTTCTCCTCCTTTTTCTTTTATTAATGATTTCTTGTGAGAATTTTCTGGTATGATGGAGTTAACTGTTATTCAGAGAACTATAGCATCAAATAGTCACCAAGTAGAATTATGCACTTATTGCTCAATGGAGCTTCTTTTTTTTTTTTCTTTTTTAATTTAAATCAATGGCTTTAATAAGAGGCTTAGATAGATATTTTCAAAAGCAGTTCTTTCTTTCTTTGAAACTGTTGTTCAGTTATGTTTTTGAGGAACAAATATTAGATTGTGCAGTGGGCTAGTTTGATATTGTCTAGTTGCAACTGTATTTGTAGCTTACAAATACAACAAATTAACATTAAAATATATTTGCTTTCTTAGCTATCCATCATGCATGTGTACAAACCTTTGCATTTGTTAATGGTGGGTTTCATATGAGACAGTGGACTCTTCTGCTTACAGATGTAGAACAGGAAAAAAAATTGTGAGATATAAACTAAGAAATGATAGAAGAAGGCAAAACAATGGAACAACCTGTTTGTTAACTCCGGGATAAGTACACGGGAAAGAAAAAGCTTTTATTTTAATCGAAAAAGAGATAAAAACAAATAATCTAAGCCTTTTACTCCTCCTATTGGAAATAAACTCTTTTCTCTTCTTTTCTTGTGCAGGAGTAATACTAAACTGACTACATGGAATGCCTATATAGTGTTATAAGGCAACAAGTGCATATGGACCATATGTTACTTCCTGAAATGAAAGATGAAATTCTTTTTGACTTTTTTCCTTGTTGCAGTAAATGAACTGAAGAGCACATGAACTGGTTGGAATTACATAATAAGAACATTATAATGAAAGTCTGCTGATGTCACTTAGTTCGCAGACCTAGTCAACTAAGATTGAATAGTTTTGCTTTTGGATCTTAATAATGACATGAAATGAACCAGTTCTGGAGATATATGGCTGGTCAAAATTTTTACATGGTCTCTTTATAAAAGCCCATTATTGGTGGAAGAAGGCAGACATGGGACTAATGGAGTTAAGAAACAGCATGTGGATTGGAGGCCATAGTCTGATGGAATTTTTCTTCTGGCCAGGACCCCAAAAAACAGTTCCTCCCTAGTTTTATTCCAGACTCCATATAGATATCCTTTTATCATGTGTCACAACTTTCCTGGTGAGCTAGGAGATGAAAGAAAAGGAAACTTGAGGATGTTTTATCATTCTTATATAGATTACAAGCAGGTCCACGAAGGTAGAACAGAAAAACGGAAATTACGGGTTACACAGCTGATTTGTTCACGACAATAGTTACACTAGCAGGAAGGGGATCCACAGAGCTCTCACATTCTAGATAGCTTGTAGGCATCGTTATGATTGTCTGGGACTATTTTAACTTTGTTATCTGTGTGGAGGCTTATCATTTGAGTGATGCTACTTTTAGACTGTTATTCTTGTCTTCTCAATTTCTTATTTTGTCTTTTTTTTTTTTTTTTCCATTCACCTTTGCAGTGTTGCTGCTGCTTCTCATAGGTGTGTTTTACACTGTCATATCACTGTGCAGCCGATGTCTCCAAAAGTGCAAGCTTGATTGAAAAATTGAATGGCGATCCTCAGAGTTGATGTTATCCTGATCAAACGAATTGAGAGTTATTCACTTTACAATCCAGCTCAACTCCAAGATAGTGCCACATATGCAAAACTCCGTCTGCTTATTTCCATTAGATTTATATTGGTAGACGACTTACTTATTAATTTACTTTGCGGTGCGCTCTAACTCATTTTGTCTTGGCCTTTACAAGTACTGGGAACAATCATGTCACCGAGTGTCATTACTTTGGTAATCTGTCTTGATCAGTCATTAGGTCCATCTGCTTATGGATGGATGTACCACTTTAACCCGTTGTGATTCAGCTGTGACAAGAACGACCATGAGCTGCAACAACAGCTATAGGGCGGGGCAACCACAGCATTCACCGACTTCAACCTTTCTGACAAGTGAAACTGCTGCAATTAGTTCAAACTACTTTTGAGCGGAGTGTCTGCTAGTCAGTTCTATTCTGCGCCAAATCAAGTTTGCCCCGCCAATATATGACAGGTGAGTTTTGTTAAACAAAAAATTAGATGCATGAGACAGCAAGCTGTGCTTTCGTTGGCTAATAATGACTGAAATTGGGCATAATTTATGTACTACAACTTGGGCGGAGTTTGGCCCCCGGTCAACTCTTGGTACTCCACGACACTTTTTTTTTTTTTTTTGGCTCAGTGAAAATTAGCTCTTACATTGAATTAAAAAGACATTCAGTGCAATTATCGTTATAAGATTCTTACTTGCACATAGCTACAGTATTGTTTGCTATTGCGGCCATAGTTTTGCCAATGACAAGCAATTGATCAGTTATCAGTTAAGGCACCATACACTACTAAAAAGGAAAAAAATGACAGCACTTTCCCTTTGGGCTGTTCTGTTCTGCATGATACAAGATAAAAGGCCAGAACATGAGAAGGCCTAAAGCCCTTGCAGTTGAAACCAGGACGACGACATCGTGAAACAGAAATCAGCAGAAATGCAATTTTCACTCTGATGCTACTCGTGCAAGAGGCGAAAACTTTCAGGCATTTTAGGCACCTTTTTTAAAAAAAAATAATAATTTTAGGCACTTGTTGCGCTAAAGTTGTGTCCATGGAAGCATACCAGTAAGGAAAACCAGAATCTTAGAAACCAATTTTTCCAGAGCTAGATAGTAAATAAAAACCGTGAAATCCTTCTCCTTTTTTTTTTTTAATCTCTAATAATTTCGCATGCCTGATAATGAAGATAGATAATGTTGTCAGCAGCAAAATATATATAATTTATAGACACTCAGAACCTATACCGCATGTATGAAGTACAGCCAATTGCCTCTTCCCTTCTGATGACAACCCAAAAAGCTTTTCGTAAATTCAAGTTACAGCATGCTGTACAGATTGCATCGTGTTACAACTCCCACCTCCACCCAATCCTCCCAACTAAAGATCCATCACATAGCAACCTGGAACATCAGAAAGGCAAAAAGCCTCTGCCTCTTCTTGTGTACCGGAATGTTCCTATTACCCTGTAAAGGTCTGCAAAACCTTCCAATATCTCAAACAAGAAGGGTTCAAATGGATTGCTTGAAGAACCCATCTTTGAGCACTCTGAGAAGACTCTATAAGAGAAGAAGATCTTGAACTCTCTCTTTCCTGCTTAGCTAGCAAATGCATTTGAAAATAGAGTTCTGCAGGCCTCATCCCTGCCAGGAACGCAAGAAAATTAGAAGATAAAGGTGACAGACTTCAGAAGGTAAAGTCAGAAACTGTTGCACGTCTACTGTGATGTTCATGCACACTACTATGATGCTTGTGGGTATACAGTACAGAAAGATAACTTTCCTCATTGCGGGATAGCAGTCCACATCCTAAACTGAGATGGTGCAACCTATTGGATGCAGTAGTATTACAAGCCCAGCAGAAAATACATCAGAATCCTTTGATTACAATTTTCCATGGATGTAAATGTTGCATGTGAAAGGAAGATGCATCCATTTCAATCATAATCTAAAACATGTGTCTATTGATACCTATTATATGCTGGCCCAACAACAAAACTCCATTCCACAACTAGGAAAGGAGCCGATACAACAAGCCCCCAAACAGCAAGATAGCACATCTAACTTTGGCCATAGATATTGAAGGCTTAATGACCCATGTATAAACCTCTCAAAAAGTTAACCCATGAACCTTTTTCTCCAGCTAGTGAGTCCACATGAATTGCAATTGCAGGACTTGATGTGTTTTCACAATACAAAGTGAAGACCATATGCAAAATGAGACTCATGGCTTGCAAAAACATGTGCTCTCCAATATGTAAACATTCATGAAAATAATTGCAATAATCTTGGTCAACTATATGAAACAAACCTGGTGGCCAAGAAAACCATTCATCTCGAAGGTTTTTCTCCCACTTCATTTTAGAGCCAAGGCTTGCTTCTGCTTGTGCCAACAGTAGTGAGACAATAGGTAACATAACAGAAGTTTCTCTGGCTTTCTGAAGACTTCTAACAGCCAGAGACAAGAATCGAGCATCACACTGCTGTTTGGCTAGCTGCATGCAGATGGTACCTGTTCAACCACCACCATTAAATATTCATTTCTAAATGGATCTGGATTGACTTATATATGCATGTAGACACACTCCCATGGAAGGAAAAAACAACAAAGTGTATATAGAATGACCCATCAGTTTCAATTTTGAACAGATCATTCAAGAAGAGTAAGGAAAAACTCTTACAGGAAGACCTCTAGCATTGGAAATCCTTCATGTGTTTTCTTGAAAATCCTTTGTTTTAAATCTTGTCTTACCAAAGCAAATCCAAAGTTTCAGATGCGCCTTTAACATTTTTAATAAAATTTTAAGGAGAAAGGCACTGAGGATAGTCAGTGGAATGAAAAATTAAATAAAGAAATTACATAGAAATTACAAGAGAGAACTTAAGTTCTACCATGACAGAGAAAGAGGCAGCTCTCATCACCGCTAATGAACAGGCTTGTGCTAGGAACTTTTCTGCAGCTAGGAGATCTTTTGTTTGAATAGCAACAAGACCATGGACCAAATCACCAACAGCCATCCACATATTCCAGGATTTCTTGACATCTCTGGAGCACTCCTCGAAGCCTACTGCTAAAAAGGTGCCATCAGTCTGTAGCTTATACTGACAGTCAATTATCTTAAGACAAACCCACCCAATTGGGTAATCAGTTTTGAGTTCTAAACATCTTGTATACTCTTTGCGCATGTCAACAAAATTATCTTGTGCAGCATAGGCACGACAAAGTAAAATGTGTGCATAAAAGAGAGAGTCATCAGGAAGCAAAAGCTCTGAAGCACTCTTAGCGTGTCTCACACAGCCAATATGATTGCCAAACTGCAAGCAAACTTCTGCAGCACAAAGCAGAAGCTGAAACCTTTGATATTCATAAGAGCTTTCTTGCCTTGAACAGAATTCATCAGAAAGAGCCACACATATTAGCCGTTCAATTATAGTGCAAAGATGTTGAGGATATCCCTCCTTACGTGCCTTCTGCACATAAGTAAGTATAAGCAAGTACCTTGCTCTATCATTCCAAGGTTCTCGATGCAAATCCCTGCAGGTTCAAGGAACGAAACAAAAAGAGCTAATGAGTTTCAATAACCATGAAGATAAACAGACTTTTCTGCATGAAGAAAAGCTGCTGTTTCCATAGAACAAAACCATTGTTCCTAGATAAGTTAGAAGCAACCTTTCCAAATTGCAGGGAGGATAATATCTGACAGTACTTCACACAATCATCCCATTAAAGCAATAGGCAAAAAAGCTTTCAAATGGGAACAGTGGAGGGCGGGGGGCAAATAAGACCATATCCATTGAATTAAACATATAAGATTTGCTACATAATGAAATAATGAGGACAATAAATGCATTTCAAAGGCATAGGTAGAAGAAGCATTTACTTCTGTAGCTGCTGGATTATTCCAGTTCCAAAAAGGCATTGCTCTTTACTGGTGGAGAATGAGAATTCATCATTGCACCTTCCCTTAGTATAACAAGCAACAGCACCGGCACCAAGAATCTCGAAGCTGGATTTTAAAACCTTTTCCTTTTGATGGTCATAAGAGTCAACGATAAAACATCTAGTTGCAAGATGAACATCTTTCCATTCCTTGCTGAATAGTAATAGATAACTAAGGAGATTCCTGTTAAAAATAAATTAGGTATATAAAACAAACTTAAGAGCACGAATTAGACCAGTAAGAATACAAAGAAATCCAGGAAATCCTTTGAAATGATGGCAAATAAATTAAGAAATATCGTGATCACTTCTCAATGTCTATTAAGTGCAAAGCACCAAGAATTTCGGCAAAAATTACTGCATAAACTGAGTACACAACCTAAGACTTTCATTCCATAAGAGCAAGAAAAATTCATTGGTTTGCAACTGATATCAGCAATGTGCTGCAAATTGATAGTATAAGGCATTAGAGTGCTAAAATTGATAGTTTAAGGGGCACAGAGAAGATTGTGATAGCACAAGGGTGCACATTGCAACTAACCAGTTCAAATGAAAAAGAATATTTAATATACCCAAGGGGAAAAAGGATTAAATAATCACAGTGTTGAAAATCTAGAATATCTTTTTCTATGTATATCCCATGATCTCTATATCCCATGATTTCTGCTATATCCCATGATTTCTGCTCTATTTTAGGATAGAATAATTTACTCCTAATGTATTTTAGGATAGAATAAATTAGCTCCTAATTTTTAGGAAATTACAGATTTCATGGAATTGACAAAAGTCAATTCCATTTGTATAAATGTTGTACAGAGTCTAGAACAAAAGATATGACAGAACAATTCAGTTTTCTTTTTGTTCATGGTATCAGAGCTTTTGCTCTTGGGACCTCTTCTTGTCAGCCTTCATTGCTGAGTGCTTTCCTCTCTTCAAGTCTTTATTGCCAAGTGCAATTTCCAGCCTTCATTGCTGATATTTTTCATTAGGCCTTCATTGCCAATTTTTCTTTGAAACCTCCAACATGTCTGAAACTGAAACATCAGAAATCCACTCCAATACCAAATCAGAAGAGACCTCAAATATTCCACAAACAGGGGATTTGCAGAATATCCAGGCAGCCTACAGGCTCAACGGGAAAAACTATTTGAAGTGGTCACAATTTGTTCAAACATTTCTCAAAGGAAAGGGCAAAATCAGCCACTTGCTTGGAACTGGACCGAAAAAGGGAGATCCTAAATTCGCTGCTTGGGATGAAGAGGATTCTATGGTCATGTCATGGCTGTGGAACTCCATGTTACCTGAAATAAGCGATACTTGCATGTTCCTACAACAGCTCAAGATATATGGACTACTATTCGACAGACCTATTCAAAGGCAGGAGATGCTGCCCTAATCTATGAGATCAAAACAAAGATCTCAGCCACTAAACAGGGCAACCTTTCTGTTACTCAATATGCCAACCTTTGCAAAATCTATGGCAGGAACTGGACCAATATCGGTGTGTTCAGATGTTGTGTAGTGAAGATGCAGCCACCTTGAAAAACTTTATCGAAAAGGATAGAGTTTATGACTTCCTTGCAGGTCTGAATGTGGAATTTGATCAGGTCAGAGTCCAGATATTGGGGAAGGAAAGATTATCATCTCTGAATGAGACAATATCATTGATTCGAGCTGAAGAGAATAGGCGAGAAGTCATGTTAGAGCCTAAAACATTAGAAGGCTCGGCAATGATTTCTACAAAGTCAA